ATAGGGCTGAAGCTCGATTTCCTCCTGTGGGGATGGAACTGGACATGTCCGGAGATGGTGCGCGAATATCTGCAGGAGAGACACAAGCCCTCACGCGGATTCCGTCCACATCCAGAGAAGTGGGACATTTGTGACTGGGCGCAGGTGTTGGGCAGGTGTGCCGGCGAGGAAGGGTATCTCCTCTTCGAGGCCGATAGCGTGAAGGTGTCCCAGGAGGAAGAAATCTCCTACAATGAGCTTTTCAAAGTTGCCAGGCATCCCAAGAACGGTTTCCGAACACGGGATTACAAAGATCGATTGCGGAGAAATGTCGCGACTGCATTGTTGCAGATATTGCAGCCGACCAAGACCGCTTACATGCATGGTTGGCAAGTAGGATTTGTGGAGCTAGTGTTGTCAGGAGCTCCAGTGCATTGGGCACGGCTCCTATGGAAGGTGACGCGCCAACATGCGCAAGAAGAGAGAGGAGGAACCCTCAATCATCTTTCGCCTTACCTGATTGTGTTTTATCGAGCGATGGGATGTTTGACAAATTCAGAGCGGACACGGTTTTCGCTGCTAACCCGGAGCTATCCAGGTAGATACTCGCGGGAGGCCGAAGTAGACACGGATCCGGACGAGGCACCTGCCAGTCCGCCTCCGGCTCCGCCCCCAGCAAGAGCAGCAGAAGAACGTCGAAGTGAGCGCGTTCCGCGGAAGCGGAAGTGGGATGAGAGACCTGAGGACAGGCAGCCGGAAGTGCCAGCTGCGCCGACTCGTAGTCGGCCCACCAACGAGCCTCACAGCCGACCAAAACAGAGGGCACGCAAAATGCCAACTAGTACTGAGGAGACCGGGCGTACTCCGGTCCGGCGGAATTCCACGCAGGAGGAGATAATCGCGCAGATTTTGGGGAAGTCGACAAATACCTCTGCGCAGAAGGCACCAATGCCTTCGGAAGAAGACGGACGGACTGACAGTCGGCCGACTACGAGTCGGGCGACTGAAGGTCGACAAACGGAAGGAAGGCCGACGGAGCGGCGCGTTGAACCGGACAGCAGACCGGAAGCAGAAGGGAGTTTGGCTGACGAGCCAACAACCCTCAGAGGGTCGTCTTCGGCGGAAGGCACTTCTGGGAAAACGCCGCCAGCAAGCAGGCCAAGTGGAGTGAAGACGCGCAGGGTGTATCCGACTGCTAGTCGGACAACTGCTAGTCGGCCGACTGCGAGTCGGTCAACAGAGAGTCGGCCAGATTCGCCGACTGCGAGACGGACAGGGCCGGCGACCAGTGTGCGGACGCCTTCGGCGGACGCACCTCCAGCAAAGACACCTTCTGCGCAGATCGCGCCGGAAGGGCAGGCAGCGGAAGCGGGCGGTGCAAAGGTGACAAAAGTCACTACGGCGTCGACCCCTTCGGAAACCGAAGATCGAGCCGGAACAGGGGCTCAAGCAGTGGGATCCCCCACTGCCTTGGATATTTTAGCAGGGAGTGGAGCGGCAGTCGCGGCGGAAGCTGCTGCGCGCCACAGTTCCAGGGAGTCGCCAAGGGATTCGGTGGCGACTGAAATCCTCGAAACGGAGGATGAGACGAGCTCGGAAGAGCAGGAAGCGGATTCTGTGCAGAAAACGCCAACAGGGGTGTTGTGCGAGCAGATAGTCCCACTCCTGCGATATCTGGATCGCAAGACATCCAAGTACTCGGGTACCGGAAAACCGCAGTCTTATGTGGAGACTGTCAAGCGCAGGACGAGGAGCAAGGTGGCCACTTGGGCCTCTAGGTGCCAAGTATTGTAGGATAGGAACACTACCCTCCGACAACACCTGGCGGTCACACAGAAGCTATACCAAACCTTGCAGCAGCAGAGGGAGGATGCGGCGACGAAAAACCAGGCGGATGCCGAGCTAATACGGGCAAAGATCGGGTCGGAATTGCAGGAAGAGCGGAGACAAAACCGCATCTTAGCAGCAGAGCTTGCGCGCCAGACGCGCGCCTTAGAAGAGAGTCAAAGAACACGCAAGGAGGATGAGGAGTTGTTGCGCAACTTGCAATCCGAGTGCGCGGATTTGAGGGCGCAGCGCGCAGATGCGAAAATGCAGCTAGCAGAGGTGGAAGGCAGCTGCTGGGCGCGAGAAGAGTTGGCGACGCGGGTGACTCACTGTCTAAAAGGATACGCCCATTGGGAGGTGGCAGCTCAAGAGAAGATCACACTCAGGGAGTTCGAGCTTCGGGCGGCGGCATTGACGGAGGGTGACAGTCGGAGTCGGCGGCGAGTAGCGAGGAAATTAGAATCCTTCTTGTCGGGTGCGCGCGACACTATGGCGCACTTGGAGTCGGAAGTGACTGCAGCCCTCCGACGTCTGGGGTTGCGCAGCCGGTCGGAAGATTGGCAAGGTAGAGATAGAGAGCGAGGTAGTCCAGCGCGCAGGAGGCGCATCACCGGATCTGCAGAGTGCAGTAGCATAGTTTGGTTTCGTACAAGTGTTGCGAGTAGTAGATAGGATAGCGTAGTGTTAGTTATGACCTTTGAGGGTATAAAGTAGATCAAGGCGTTTTGCCTTGGGACTCTTCCAGTTTCGGAAGTGCAGATCAGGAACTCACTTTCTTGGCGTGTTTGTGCATTTTGGTCATGGCACCACGTAGAGAAGTTGCAGCATAGCGAAGTTACCGTATGTTGTAGTTGAAGGCCTTCGGCTGAATGTTCAGAGCTAGTACCCGGTTAGAGACTTGAGTAGTGCGGATCTGCACCTGCGGGTGATTTCTGATGCTCAGAGCCGGCTGCGAGTTAGATACTTGAACAGTTCCCCCTTACTCCTTCGAGTGACATATCCTGATTGTACTCTTACGGGAAGTTTCCCCTGAATGCCAAAGTGAAGTTTTATTACTTCGTGTAAGCCTTGGTTTGCAATTCAGGTTGTGTGTGTGTGTTGCTGGATTGTGTCTCAGTTAAGTCCTCAGTCGGGCCTGTACTCCCTGCGTTTGGTGTGAGTCGAGGGTGACGTCCACGGCGTATGAAGAGGCTTTGTTCCGAAGTGGGAAGTCCAGTCCGGGTACCCTACGCTAGTTCCTGGCGGAAGGGCAGTAAAAGCCGGAGTGGGAGTCACTACTTGCAGAACCTCTGAGTGAACTTTTGAGACACTTTCCCCCTGAAATCCGAAGCGGAGTTGTGCCGACCTCCGAGTTGTGCTTTTGCCAGTTTCAGGTGTGTGTGTGTGTGTGTTGAGTGACTACGCTGTACTGTGCATCCTCCGAGCATCCTCCGAGTTGAGATCCTCCTCCGAGTCGAGCCTTCGAGTCGAGCACTGCAGTATTTCTGGGAGTGACAGTCGCCTGAGAATTCAAACTCTACAAAAGTCTGTTAAACGTGACACTTTTACTCTGTGTGTTGCCTCTGTCCCTGTGGGTTCGATCTTTTTACCACCATACTGCAGTTTTAGCCTTTGGTGGGTTATTACAGATACAGACCATGCTCTTCGGAGGGAGGTCCGGCCGCCACAGGCTTGAGTGGGAATACTACCTCATTATCCTCTATAGACCAACGTCGTAATCAGTCATATGGTTGAAACATGAACGTTCATATGGAGGTTCAGCCATCAATAAGTCTAATGTTCTGATGAGTAGACATATAAATTTGATGATTTTATGTCTACTGTTATGTTGATTACACGTCAAATCAAGCTCAAACACTTGTGATATGAATTACAATCTTTCATTCAAGTCATCCCACACTTCACTCATGAATTTTCCTAGTTATCAAAGAAGTCCAAATTGTCAAAAGTAAATATTGCCAAAAATGATCCCTTTCCTTCATCATCTTTTCTTTTCGCAAGGACTGAGAGATTCTTTCTTTAGTTATACCAAGTTGCTCACGAGTATTTATCTATTCCCAATTTAGTGCGCTGTATAGACTGGATAGCTTCAAGTGATGTTCCCACGTGACACTCGGTATCAAACTGTTGCGTACGTGTGCACAGAATGAATGATAATGAGAAGTAGATAAGTGATTGCAATGAAGTGGACCAATGCATGACGTCAAATATCTGGCCCCGAATGTATGATATGCGATAATGATGCTTCTCCGGTCTAGCTCACGCATCTCTGCAGATACTGACGAACATTGTGTGCTAAGCGTCGCCGCTCTACAAATTTAATGAAATCCCAGTCACGGAGGGCTGCGCCAGACAAGGACAACGGCAGGAGGGCGGCTGACATTTTTTATATCTTACTGCCGTTACTCCCCGTACGGCAGTCAGATAACTCCTGCGTCGGAGGGCTGCAGTCCCATACAGATGACGATCGGTAGTTCTGATCCAGTACAATTATTTGTAAAACTCTTGTCGGCACTGGTCACGGTGAGCTCATCGCTGTCAGCAGAGCTGCGAATTGCGAGGAACCACTGACCGTAGTGTCTGAGACGTCCCGCTGGTGCTCCAGGCCCTGAGCTTCAGTTTCGCGGAAATTTGCATGGCATGGATGACGCCAGCCCCGTCCACTACAAGTCGGGAAGATTTGATAAAAAACTGAGAATAGCTTCTTTTCTATTAAACGACTGTCAATTTTGCCTTCGCACCTTGCCTAGAATTTTGGTTAAAGCAATCGAAAATCCATATTCAATTCCATCTTTAATTTACAAGAATCTTTGGTTCTTCCCGCACACTGATCTCACTTGTTACCTGTCTGATGCATAAACAGCAACCTCCGGTACAGTTTACAGACAAAGTAAGCTCATGAACCGAACTGAACGGATCTGAATTCTTCTAAGAGCAACTCGAGACAGACAAAGCATAAACATGACTAAATACTGGTGTCGGAATCTCTGCAATCCACTGCAGTATGTAAAACTCTTCAGCGTCAGGCAGTTGCTTAGTACCAGGCTGCTGGTTCCTGGGTCCAGCTACAAACCGTAGGTCTGGATGTCCATTGTCACAGCTTCGAGAGGCAATAGAACTCTCCTGAATAGCAACGTGCTGTGAGTGGTCTTGTGAGTGGTGTAATATGAAGTAAAAAACTTCGACAGAGGAGAAGGGGTCATTCAACCCATTCGACTTCTCGTCGAGCAGTGAGGCTCGAAGCGTTGTACATAGACAGCGACTGTCTAATCTGTGCGGAGGGAACAATGGCTGCAATAAGCTGCCGCGGGCTTCTCCACTGTGTCGTGCTCATCTGGTCTCTCTATATTCATCTGCGACAGGTGGATGCCAGGATTTTGCAGGAGACGTTCCTGTATCAAGTTGAAGTGCAAACCGCATTCCAAGCCACTGATGTCGACAAAAACTTTATCTGCGCAACTCTCGACTGGTGGCCGTCCGAGAAATGCAGTGCGAACAACGTATGCCCATGGGGAGGAGCTGGACTACCGTATCTGGTACGAACTTGGCCACTGTCAGACTGCTCAGACTCTTCTTTTGATTCAGCAATAATCCCTCTTCGTTGGATGCTGGCAAACCAAGACCGGCGTAGGCATATTACGGCCTGGGCTTTACATCCCTATCGAACACAACTGTTCCCAGTCCATTCACCCGCAGGTGTGACAGCCCTGAGACTCGAACATATTCCCTGACTACTGCTGGTTACTCCTAACAATCCTTCAGACAGAGCCTCGTCCGCTTGCATGGCAACTACGTCATTTTCCTTTTTGTCCTTTGTTTATCCACATAGGAATGTACTGACTCTCACGAGTCCCTTCCCTCAGGCTTCTACTCATCAGTCCGTATTTCTAATGCCTTGATGGTACTTACAGATTCTCCAACAGATGTATACTATATGATGCTAATTGTCTCGTGTGCATGGCCAAGCACGAGCTCTTTGCTCCCAGAGTCCAGGTTGAGACGATAATATAAGAGCTGAAGTGCTGAAGATCGTAAGAAACGCCGTGGCGGAGCTCAATATGGGACGTGGATTGTTTAGCGACAGTCCCACTTCTGAATTGATAGAGTTTGTTTCTTTGTTGTGCTTGCAGGATCTTGAGAACCCAAAGTTACTGGAAGCTATGAAAGGTTGAACTCTGTAGCTCCACAGATTCATGCTTTCTCATCGTTATTCGTCTTGGTCTTATGTGAGCGAATGATAGCTTAGCGCTCGAGTAGGATCGCAGGGGTCATTTGAGTGGGGGAGGTATCAGGTGCCGATTTCTTAAAATGGTGGAGAGAAGGGATGTCGTTGTAGTCAGACATGCTGATGCTTATGGCACGCAGCCAATCTCCGTCCCACGTGCAGAACTGCGACCACTTGTGAGAGCCGGAGGAACACTGGAGAATATCGTTGTTTACGATATCGGCGGGCAACTTCCAAGCGAGCCTTGCGTTAATTTCACTGTCAATGAAGGCGTGTTCTACGGATTCAGCGGCGGTTGTCTTACAATGGAGCGATGGGACGCGCTCAATGCATTTTTCAAAAAGACCGGGTGAGTAGCTTTGCAGATAAGATTCTGTTCTGGTGCGAGAAACCGTAACAGTACTTCAGATTGCCAGGAGCCATGAATTCGAAGTTCCTCTGGATCGATCATGCCCGGAAGAGCTCTTTTTTACATGGAATCGTGAGCAGTTTGCAGGACTGTAATTTGGCTCTGAACACTGCAGCTCGTGGAACTGTGATCGCTCATCGAATGCTTGGGAAAAGAGCCGATCTTGGAATTATGATTACTTAGGGTCGATCGCGCACCAGACGACAGAGACTTGCCATATGGCGAAAGGGATGTTCTTTGATACTTGACTGCATTTTGCTGATTTTCATGCAGGGTTGAAGTGGTTTTTGGTCTGAATGCTCTGTATGGGCGAAATAAGACGAAAACAACGACTGGAATGGGAAGTCAGAACGTGACGGGGCCATGGAATTGGACAAATGCATATGAGTTGATGAAGTACACTCGCAAAAAAAACTATGCAATATCAGGATGGGAGCTAGGTAAGCAGCCAACTGCAACGCACTTTGAAGTTCCACAGTCTGATTGAAGTAAACAGCACACGTGATCCTTTTCATATTTGATAAAAGTACACATAAAAGGTGTGGAGAAGGAGGCTAAGTGATAAATTGAAAAATTCATCGAACTATGTACAAGTTTGCTTTCTAATTTAGTGACAAACGTTGCGGGGGTTTAACAGGAAATGAGTTGATGGGGCTTGCTATTGACGCAAGGGTTAATCCATTGCAATATTCAAAGGATCTTCGAAATCTTGACAGAATCGTGAGGGAGGTCTATAAGGGTCATCACACGCTTCCCTTGGTCATTGCACCAGATCTGGTATACTTGAATATAAGTGATGACCTTAAAAACTTCTTGACGGACTCAGGCCGAGAAGAACTGGACGTACTGACAACACATTCCTACAATTTGGGCTCAGGTTTCATTTTCTACACTCTTTAGCTCTGATCCTGGCCGTTTTGTTGATTGAGATTTGCGGTGTAGAGAATATATCATACAACATATCTTGTAGATACAACTGTCGTCTAATCTCAATGTCATTTAGGTTTTTCTACATTGGATTCGATATGGTTAGTCTTAGCTTAAATTAAGAGATAATATTCTTCTCATCGACATTAAGAAATTGCGTACACATAGCTGCATAATTTCAGCAGTTGGGAAAAATAAGTGCTTATGTGCACATATTGTTAGCATGGACTGGTGCAAGATGTCCTCTTCTTACAGTGTGCTTCCATGTAGTCAGTCGTGTTTGAGTGATATCGTAATTGTGGCTGCTCTTTCATTATTCGACCGAAACTCACAACATCAACTTTCAAATGCTGCAGGAGATAGCGCCTCAGAGATATTAATTAGTAACTTACTGAATCGAACATTCTTTACAAAGCAAACTGATACCTACAAGAGTGTAAATACTCTTCTAAGAGATCATCCAGCTATAAAAGCTTGGATTGGCGAGTCTGGAGGTGTTTACGGCAGTGGACGCCATGGAGTCAGCGATACCTTCATTGATGCTTTCTGGTAAGATTTCTGCTATGCTTCCACAGCTTTACAGAAATTAAAGATCAACATCTTGCATAGAAGAAATTATCGCTCTGAAGAAGTTTGAAAAAAAGACATCATTATGCAGTCCACGTAGACTGAGAGCAGCAATGGGACTGTAAAAATCATTGAAACTATAACTGGCAGATGTGACATGTTTCGAAATACGAATATGTCATCGAGCATACTGCGTTTGCTTATTGTCTCATTGAGCCTGCTTAAGGAGCTTCGGATCATTTGCTATCCATATAACAGGTCTACAATAACCACGAGGACAGCAAACGTTCTATGACGGAATTTGGACTCTTTTTCACAATAGGAATTATGTACTGATCTCAAGTCGGATCTTTCTATAGGTATCTGGATGAACTCGGGACTGCATCATTGTTCAATACTAAAGTGTTTTGTAGACAAAGCTTCGTTGGGGGCAACTACGGTTTACTGGATAGGTCTACGTTCGAACCTAATCCTGATTACTACGGGTGAGTTCCAAGGCTTCGTTCATAAAATTTATATACAACCAAGAAGTCGTCTGATCTTTTTGCAAACTACAAAGTGAATGTGATTTGACGAAGGTTGTAACTCAATTTGAGCTGAGTTTTTGCGCTTCACTCATTGTCACCCATGGCGGCTGAGCTGATGATTAAGGAGCAAGCAGTTTTACTGATTTGAAAAATCTCTCTGTCCAATATTCCCGTCAAGTAATAAGGATACTCCGTTTAACTTCTTTCTGTCTTTTCCTTGAGCATCTTCATAACTTCATAACTAACGATTTTCCCAGATTCTGATAGAAGGTTTCTTTGATCGTCTTTCTAGAGCCCTGCTTTGGCGCAGACTGATGGGAGAACGCGTCTTGTTCATTAACGTTCTTACGTTAGATTACATTAGCGCGTACGCTCATTGTCAAAAGGACAATAAGGTACGTGATAATGCCAAACCTCAAAACTCTTTCGAATGTTACGTTCAACCAGGAAAGCACAATACCTGAATACCTGAGCCTCGGATTAAAAGCAATGCTTGGGAGGATGCATGATTCATTCCTTCAATTATGCAGCGCATGAGAATGGATATACAATTTCGTGTTACATCTGTCGAACATCTTGTGTGGGCTGGCTTGGCAGGGAGGAGTGACAGTGTTACTTCTGAATTTCAGCAACACTACAACTGCGAGCTTCAATTTCAATTTCCTGGGTTCTAACAAATTCAGCTTTCGACATGAATACCACATGTCTCCTGCGGATGGAAATATCACCAGCCAGGTCGTTTTGCTCAATGGTCAGCCTTTGGCAGTTACCTCTGATGGAAAAATCCCACGACTTTTGCCAGTGAACAAGGCTCCATTTGAGCCTATCTCTCTGAAACCTCTCACATATGCGTACATTGTCTTTCCAGATGTTCATGCTTCTGCCTGTGAGAGGTTTTAATTTGGTACTTCCAGATACATTCAGTGTCGGATTTGTCTGAAGTCGAGATTTATATTTAGCGTATATATTTATATATAAATATACAAAATGTATAAAATTGGAACGATACAGAGAACATTAGCATGCCCCCTGCGCAAGGATGACTCGCACAAATCGAGAAATGGTCCAAACTCTACTCAGAACTTCAAGAAGAAGAGCAACGCTTTTGTGAATAGAGAGCGTAGGTTTTTTGGGACCAATTGTGTGGTTGTAATAACCCACTAAAGGCTAAAACTGCAATATAGTGGTAGAAAGGTCGAACCCACAGGGACAGAGGAACACACAGGGTACAAAGTGTCACGTTTTAACAGACTATTGAGGAGTTTGAATTCTCAGGCAACTGTCACTCCCAGAAATACTGCAAGTGTCCACTCGGAGCGCACTCGGAGGTCGCACAGTGCAGCGTAAAACACACACACACACACACACCTGAAACTACAGAAACACAACCCAGAGATCCGTTAGGACCTCTACTTCAAGATTTCAGGGGGAAAGTCTCTCAAGAGCACACTCGGCAAAGCTGCGGGCAGTGACTTCCAACTCCGGCGTTTACAACACTTCCACTAGCTTGCTGCTAGTGTAGGAAACCCGGTTTGGACTGCCTACTTCGGATCGAAGTCACTCCTACGCGGTGAACAACACTCTCAACTCACAAAACGCGCAGAGAACACAAGTCCGCACTGAAGGACTCACTGTGAAACATTCCAGTAACACAACAACAGTCTATTGAAGAGTTTGAATTCTCAGGCACTTGTCATTCCCAGAAATACTACAGGGGTTACCCTCAAAGCACCTGCTGCAGCGTAACCTGAATTTACAACCAAGGCTTACACGAAGTAGCAAAACTTCACTTTGGCATTCAGGGGAAAAATCCCAAGGAGTACAATCAGAAAGAAACACTCAAAGGTGTAGGGGCGAAACTGTTCAAGTATCTAACTAGTCACTGGCTCTGAGCATCGGCAGTCACCCGCAGGTGCAGATCCGAACTACTCAAGTCTCTAACCAATGTACTAGCTCTGAACATTCGGCCGAAGGCCTTCAGCTACAAAATGCGGAACGCTAAGTTGTAACTCCTCGTGCGTGGTGACAGAACTCAAGGACACAAACACGCAAAGGAAATGGGTTCCTGATCTGCACTTCTGATGGGAAAGAACCCCAGGCAAAACGCCTGGAACTGTTTTATACCTTCTAAGTCCTACCTACACTACACTGCACTACGCTACACGCCTGCACGGAACCACGCTACACTACACTCCGCGGAACCTGTACTACGTCTCCTGCGCGGCCGACTGCCGCGCACTTGCTCCCTACCCTGCCACTCTTCCGCTCGACTGCGCAGTCCCAACCGCTGCAACGCCGCGGACACCTCCCCCTCGAGGGCGGACATGGTATCCTGTGCCTTCGACAGAAAGGCTTCAAGCTTCTTCGCTACCTTCCGCCGACTCCTACTGTCGCCTGACAACAACCCGGCTGCGCGCAATTCAAACTCACGCAGTGTGAGTTTCTCCTGCGCCTTCACTTCCCAGTGGGCGTAGCCCTTGAGACAGTGGGCGACTCGCCTCGCCGTCTCCACCTTCGTGCGATCCGCCTCCTTCCTGCGATCCTCTTCAATTATCACTAATTGCGATTCGGCTTCGGCACGTTGCGCTCTCAATTCGCCACACTCTAACTGTAACCTGCGGATTAATTCTTCATCCGCCTGCCGTGCGAGCTGACATTGTTCCAACAACCGCGTCTGTCGCACGAGCTCCTCTGACAAAATCCGATTCTGGGCCTGCTCAGAATCGAGTGCTTCCTTGACCTTCACCTGCTCCTTGGTGAGCTCGCCCAGTTTCTCATCCTTCATCTTCTCGGAGTGCTTGTAGAATTTCTGATTAAGCTTGTACTGTCCCCACAAGCACTCATGCTTCTCCTTCAAGTCCCTCAACTCCTGGTCCACTCTAGCTAATAGCTTGCTGGTGTGGACTTTAGTGCGAGTCCGCCTGCGCACTAACTCGATGTAAGATCCCGGCTGAAGTGGGTCGGCGTATTTATCGACCTTGCGATCCAAGTACCGCAGCAACGGAATCACCTGCTCAGAGAGCGCCGCCGCCGGCGCTCCAACAATTTCCTCCTCCTCCTCCTCGGTGTCTTCTGCTCCTGACATTTCTTCCGTGGAGCCTCCGTCGTCATCATCCGAGTGGAGAATTTCAGTCGCCATTGAATGCGTCGGCGACTGCCCCGAGTGGGGCTGCACGTCCTCGACGTGTGCTGCCTGCGAAGGCACGGCTGCAGCCTCGCTGCTCGTCGCCAAAATGTCTAAGGCGGAAGGCGAATGTATCCGAGCGGCATCCCCGTCTCTCGCTGGTTGATTGCCTACCGCATTCTCTCTGTCGCCGTCGTCCGTCGCCGAGGGCAATTGAGCGGAGGGTGGCTGCGCGGGGTTGGATTGCGCATCGCGTATCGAGATTTCCTCCCGCGGACAGTCACTCCGCTCCTCCGTCTGCTGCTCCCTCGATCGGTCCGTGGGGGCTGTGCCCGGCCCGTGCGCAGGCGCATTTGCCGGCGCCCGTCGCAGGCGTAGCGCCGCGGACATCTATCGCCGAAGGCGACATGGCCGGGGGCCGCACGCCCGATGTTCCTTGGCCTATAGGCCCTACCGCCGAAGGCGCATCTACCGGCGGACTTCCCGCCGATGGTGCGGCCTCCGCACGCTCTCTGCTCGTATCCCCTCGGCTCGAAGGCCCTGGCGCCGAAGGCGCAAATTGCGGCGCGTGGTGCGCCGGAGGGTCTGGCCCCGAGGGCCGGTGTCTCGTAGGCGGTTCTTCCGCCGGCTCCTTCCCCTTCCTACGTTGGAACGGGGGTGATTCTTGCCTGTGCACAGGCGGCACGTGTGGAGGTGTCCTGTGCACAGGCGAGCGCCTGTGCACAGGCGGACTGCTCCTTCCCACGCGTAAGCGTAGATCCACGTCCACTTGTGTTCGCCGGTCCGCGGAGGCTCGTCCGTCCGCGGAGGTTCGCCTGTGCGCAAACGGAACATCTGTCCGCATCGCACGTGGTAACTCCGGAGGCCCTTGGCCCGTAGGCGGCCTCTCTCCCGACGAGGTTGCAGCGTGGCCCGTTGCTCCTGCGGTCGTCCGCGCTTCCTCTCGCCTCTCTGGCGACGCACTTCCTATCTCCGTCGCAATCGTCGCCGTGTCTGCACTGTCAGCTGGTAACACCAGTCTGCGTGCCTTCTGCTTCGGCCGGCTGTATGGCTCGCACAGCGGCCGTGGTCGAATGGGAGCAGAGGGTTCTTGATGCTGCTCCTCTTCGGACTCTTCCCTCCATCGCCGCTTCCGCGGCACTCGCGCTGCAGGAGTGTGTCTCCCTTCATCCCTCCGTCTTGATGGGGTAGAAGTCGGTGACTCCTCCGCATCAGTATCAACCTCGTTCTCCCGCACATACTTCCCGGGATGGTCGATGGACAATGGCGGAAAATGTTCAAGCTCCGCCGCTGTCAAACAATTCCGCTGTCGATAAAAATTGATGAGGAAAGGAGAAAGATGGTTTAGAGTTCCCCCCTTCTCCTCAAACGCGTGCTGTCGCATCACCCTGTGCAGGATGCTCGCCCAGTGAATTGGAGTTCCCTCGATGACGCACTCCACAAAAGAGACCTGCCACAATGTGATGTAGCAAGCGCGGTGCGGCTGCAGTAATTGCATCAGCGCCGCGGACAAAGTCCGGCGAAATCGATCCTTGTAATCACGGGTCCTGTACCCATTCTTGGTAGACCTCCCGGTCTTGAACAGCTCCACAAATTGCGCCTCTTCTTGTTTGGTCACCTTGATGCTCTCACTGTCGAAAAGGAGGTGCCCTGGCATGCCAGCACATCTTCCCAATGCCTGCGCCCAATCTTGGACTGTCCACCGATCAACATGCGGACGCAATCCGCGCGAGGGTGGTCCCTGTGGCTCTAGCCACTCGCGCACCATATTCGCGCAGATGTAATTCCATCCCCATAGCAAGAAATCGAGCTTTCTTGCTATTAAGCGCTCTTCGAAAGCGCGCAGCCCGTTCTGCGGCAGGCGAAGTGGCACCATCCGCAATCTGCTCGGTCTCGTCATTGCGTTCCTGGGGTTCGCTCGCCCGCTCATTCTACTTCCGCACTGTCCGCGTTTCTTTCTCTCTCGGCAAACTCTAATCGCTCTCAATTCCAAATCACGCGCACTCACTTCTCCCTCAATCAACAAGAAATCTCCTGTGTGACGACGTCGAGAATGGTCCGCAGCCAGCAGATGAATGCGCGCAGCGCGCACAAGAGATTGGAATCGCGAATTCAAGAATGGGACGTTCTCCGCCGCCCGGTCGAAGGTCATGGTCGGCTCTTGGTCGTGAAGAACGTCTCACTTGATGGCCGCGCCGGCTGTACGCTGGAACGGTCTTCGCTCTCACGCGCGGCTTCACGCTCCGCCGTCGTCGATTAAACTCTCACGCTCGAATTGGCGGATTTGAACTCCGCGAGCGTGTCACCCTCCGGACATGGGGGCGTAGCGCCGAAGGCGAGTTTTCCGCCTTGCGCGGTACACTTGTTCGTACCGCCCCTCGGCCAATCTCCTTCTGCCTTGACGCGTGTGTCCGCATGTCGGACAAAAATTCAACTCCTGCCTGTGCGCAGGCAGGGGCCTCGGCGGATTCTCCGCCGGCGCGGAACTTGAACATCCTCCTGTGCACAGGCGAGCGCCTGTGCGCAGGCGAATTCTGTCCGCGGCGCTGCGCTGGCGCGGAAGGCGTTGACCGTGGTCAGCCGTCTCCGTCCAGTCTGTCCGTTCCTTGTCTCTCCGTCGGCGATTCCGCCGCCGCAACTCCGTCCGTCCAAGAGCGCATCCACCCGTGCCGTCCGCACGGTCCGTACCGATGGAATTACTCTGGCGGCCGTACGTGGCGCCGCGCTGGCGCGGAAGGCGCCGTACACTTTCTACCTCACAAGGCGCATTTCTAGGGCCCAAGGCGGATTTTACGTCGACGCCGAAGTGCCTGTGCACAGGCGAGCGCCTGTGCGTAGGCGGACTTCGCGCCTTCCCTAACCCTACTTCGCCTGTGCACAGGCGAACGCCTTCGTCCGCGCATAGGACAAAACTTGAATCCCCCTTCCGCGTAGGCGG